TTTCCCTTCGGAGTAGGTCTTTGGTCACCCTTCTTTTTCTTGCACTACCTAACCCTCTTACATTCCAGTTAATAATTTTCATCGAGACAAAATAGCAAAAACACCCATGAAAAGGCCATAATCTCCTCATTTTAGGCCCTTCCTCCTATCCCCTCTACCACTAAATTCTAAATCTCCCTCAATGTTTGAGATTAGCTTTTCCACTTCAGATCTTTTTTTCTTCTTTGTTCCTTTTCCCCCCCCTTCCTAATACAACAATTATCCTCTTTCTTTTCTCCACCCTTTATAGCCAATGTCTGAGGAAGATATTTACCCCGCTCACACTTTTTTTGGCTACAACATCTCTCTAAGAATCCTTCCTTTTTTTTTAGTTCCTCCATCATTGTATAGATCAACTCCCAAATTCTGTCCACCTCCCCCTTACTATTTCCATCACCTTCTCTCCTCCTTCCACTATCACCCTCTCTCTTGCATCAGAACCTCCTGGATGGGAAGCTGGCATATYTGTTACAGGCATAGCACACAAGTCAGTACCTAAAAAAGAATTGACACCCATTCCTGGTAGGACGGGGGTAGGACTAGAATCACTGGAATTTAGTTGCTGACAGGCGACAAATGGTTTTAAGGCCTTTCCCCTTTTTGGACAAAGTTGTGCAGTAGACATAGTGAAAGAATCACTTCCTGACGACCTACCCACTTGGAAATCCTTTCTTTGTGTTTCCGATACTGGAATACCCACATCCGTCCTCACGGCCGATTCTTGTCCCTCTCCACCAACATCCTGTAATTCGTTAGACTCAGGGTCAGCTCCCTCGACGAGGGGAAGAGGAGTTTTCACAGCTTTAGGACCATTTTCTTCGCCATTTCTAGTCTTCCCGCCACCTACCTCTTCAATCTCTTCCTCTAAAAAACACAGCTCTGTATGCAAACTTTCTATTTCAAGTAAATCATTGTTGCTTTTCGGAGACAGACTTCCCAATCTTATAGTTTCATCTCTATCAGAATCGTCACTGCTGTTTTGTTCAGTCAACCAATCTTCAAACCCTGTTCTGTTCAAATCACTAGGCTTCAAGTATCTCCGGTTGCGCTTATCTGGTGAGAGACAGTTCGCCAGGTTGGATGGGACCCATTGTAGAGAGCCTTGAGACTGAGAGTCTTGAGATTTTATGCCTGAACTGTTCGACTGAAAGGAGGGATTCGGGGTAGAAGAAGATAGACGCTTAATCTCGTCTATCAGCTCATCCCTCCTCCCAGTCACGTGCTTACTTAAAGGGTCCCTTGGCCCATCTGTCTTGTAATGGGCCTTGGGCTCAAAACTTGTAATATGAGAACCCAGCTTTAAAACCTTTACTTGAGTTGCCTTCTCCGGCCCACCAGAAAAGGGATCCACTCGACTGGGCCCATTTTCTAAGTCTTTTCCTCCCACGTGACCTCTTAACAAGTCACGCCCCCCTGTTTTAGTTGTCGAACCAGCAACCCTCCGTCTGAGGTTGTTGGTTCAGCCCTCTCCCTTTAGACACTGGTATATTTTTTTCTATTTCCCCTGACACCACCTGCRCAAAAGATCTGCCATTTGTCATAGCCTTTTCTTGCTTTCTACAGGTTTGACCTTCCATCTGCCCCAAAGCTTTTTGGCTTCCCTTAATTTGTTGGCCCTTTTTAGTGAAACATTCCTTCCCATTTGAATTAACCAATCTCACAAGTCTACGTAATGCTTCTTCTTCCTCCTTCTCCCCTCCTACCATACGAGCCTCCTTCCACAGCTCTGCTTCAATGGAGGATGCTAGCCACACATAGACAAAACTCCCCTCTGTTCGTACCTCTACCTTTCGTGGAATGTCTTCTGGCTTCACACCACTTAGCAGGTTTGCTACTGGATAAGGATCACCCCAGAAAGCTCCTTTCAAGATTCCTCCACACAATACTGCTATAGACTCTGCTGCTCTTGTTTCCACAGATGAAATGGCAAGCCTTCTACATGCACCACCACACCGTCTTTGCCAAATAAATCCTTGGAGTTGGATGTTGGATTCCATTTAAAGACTGTGAATGATCCGAAATCAGCCTGATAGCTGATAATTCCAATTCATTCTCTACTGGATCTAGGAGGGCTTTACAGTTATCGAAGGGGGTTACTATGAAAACACTCTTCAGCTTCAACCTGGTTGCCAGTAGGTCAACTACCCTCCTCCAATCATTAACCTTTTCCTTGGCTTGTATCACAAACTTACTATCCCACTCTTCTCTCTCTAGACCTCCCACCATTCTGCATTGGCCTTTTGATTTTGCCTTGACCACTGGCCCTTGTTCTACCCTGCTGTTGCTGAGATATGCCTTCTCCCTTATGGAGGCTTTTTTATCATTTGCTATTCTTTGAGCTAAAATCTCTTTGAGCAACCAGTCAACTTCCCCCCATCCTTGGCTCTGTTTTCCTGCTGGTAGACACACCAGTTGCCTTCGTCCCTTACCAAAGAATTCAGCCAAAGCTATGAAGAAACCTTCTCTATTCCTCTTACATTCAACAACATATCTTCTCCCTTCTAATGTACTAAAATCCTGCCAGTTTATCTGCTTACCTTTTGAACAGCTCCATCTATGAACTCTCTTAGCCACTCGATCACTTCTAATCCTTCCAGCAATATTGTACCCTTTTTTGCTTCCCTTACCTTCAGGCTTACCTTTCCCTTGATTCTCATCTCTTTGAAGAGGAAATTTTTTGCTTCTATCTTCAAGGATCTCCTCCACTGACCTGCCTGCATGAACTCCATTCCCTTCAAGGATCTACTCACATAATATATTTTACTGTTCTCTCTCGTAACAMTCTTCTCAAGCCCAAATCCCAATAGTTGTCTGTGAAAACCGAGAATATCAATGAACACGATATTGTTATTTATTGATTTGACTACAGATTTGTTATTTTCATTTGAATGTTTTCATTTTCTTGTTTATTTATCCTTGGGTTATTTTTTATACAAATTTTGGCATGTTCAACTTGATTTGAACAATCAGCAATCGTTGAACCATACATCAAGTCACAAACAATTGTATAAACTTTCGATTATTTATTTTTTCATAATTTTTAAGTTTTTAATTTGAGGCTTATTGTCACGACCTGACTGCTCCCATTGGCTAAGTTGTGTGGCACTCACTTGGCCCTCCTAGCAAGTCAGCCAAACTGCATGCCCAAGATCCTTCTTGCTAGGTTGCTTAAGTGCTAAGGACACACCCCAAGGCACACAAGAGCACACCAAGTATTGTAAGAGAAAGAGATTGTATTGCCCTAGAAGAAAGCTTACAACTCAAAGAATGCTCTTACAACTTGAATGCCTGTTGCAAATGGAGAGGACCCCTATTTATACACTAACCCCCTCTAGGAATCCTCTAGAACTATGTATATTTGGCATCATTTAGAAGCACCTCTAGAACATTCTACCTTCTACACTCTTCTAGGGGATGCCTTCTCCATAAGATACAAGAACACTCTAGAGGAAGTCTAGACTACTTCTAACCCCTCTAGGTTGTTCCACACAAACCCGGATTGTTCCACAAGGTTCTAGAGAGTTCCACCAACATCTAGACCCTTCTAGACACACGGAGAACACTCCAAAACACCCCAGAATGCTCCAGAACACCCTAGAAACATGTAGAATTGGCTAGAAGCCTCAGGAAACATCTAGAAAACCTCTAGCCAAGCACTCCATTGTGTCACCCCGTGACATTACGCCTCAAACCACCTCGAGGCTTATGCCTCGCCTCTTTAGCACCCAACCGCGTCGCCTCTGCCTTTAGCCTTTTAAAGCCTTATTTGTAATATTGTGTTTTCCATAAGGTTGTTGTGAATGTAATGCTTGGCAGCATAAAGATAGGTAATCATCTTCAAAGTGCATATGATGGATGTCATAGATTTCATTAAGCATACTGAATGGGTGATTCAATCTGGACAAGATCCAAGTTTTTGTTTTGGCATAGAATAGAAACTCTGGTACTTTGGGCTATGCAAATTCTTCTGTATTAATTCTGTTTCTTCCCCCCCCCCCTCTTTTTTTTTGCATTTATCTTGAGAACTGCCTATAATTCATCCTTTGCCTACATTCATTATTTCATATATTGTTTAGTCCTTTTTCCATATTAGATGTTTACTCTTTCAGGTCAAGGAAACTAGTGGAACTGAAAGGTCCTCAAGTGCACCATGTTCGTATTGCCCGGTACGCCAAATTTTATTTGAAGTTAGGATATTTGCTTGACTAATCAACTGTATTTGATACTTGTTGAGGAATTTGTGCAGATTTGTTGGTTAATTTGTTTATTATTTGTTTAGTTAGGGAGTGGCAAATGTCTGCATATTATGTTGGGAAGGGAAAGAAACTGTCTTTCATCTGTTCTACTCTTGCAAGACAGCAAAGGTCATTTAGTTAGGGAGAGTGTTTTCCATCCTAGCTCTACAGCAAAAATCTTCTCTTCTTGGCCAAACTTAAACAGCAGCAGGAAAGCAAGGATAGTGTGGAGCTGCATTCCTTTTGCAGTGTGCTGGGTTCTTTGGAATGAAAGAAATAGAACATTCTGAAGATAGATCAAAGAACTCTGAAACATTAGTTGCTCTGGTTGGGAAGCTAGTAGCAGATTGGGTTTGGGTATTACCAGAATTTGATCAAATCAGCAGATCTGAAATGGGGAGGAACTTTTGGAATATTCTAGAATTTCAGCGGTTGTAATTTGGTTTACTGTTGTTAGGATCGACAGTACAAGGGTATTTAGGTCTTTTTGTCTATCTAATTGAAACTGAATAGTTTGTTTTGTGTGAGTTTAATTTGTGTCCCATACTTAATGAGGGACAATATTGACTTTTGTAATTCAATACATACAATATAAATATAAAGTGGATTGGAGAGATGATTTTTTCTCTCCTGACTGAACCCTTCTCCTCTTTTTCTTTCTCCTTCTTCTTCTTCTTCTTCTTCTTCTTACATACTTAGGACCTAGAACTGAACTAGGGTTACTCAACCTATTCATATGGTACCAGATCAATAAGAAACCAGTTTCGAACTCAATCTTCTCTCATCGCCCTTTGGCCTCCTGGGATCGCCATATTAGAATTTTTTTGGAGTAACTCTTAGACAGATTGGAAGATCGATAAGAGGCCAAAAAGGAGTGACCATTGTGGTGGTCRTGTACTAAATGCCCTCTACTTGATGGTAGGAAGGAGGCTGGTTGTGGACAGGTGTGAACAGAAATTTCTATTCGGCTAATAGTGGAGTGTGTCTGCTTCTTTTTGGGCTGGATTTCATTTATGTGGCAGTGTGGATTGGTAGGTATGCATATGATCCTCTTTTCATTCTGTTTATACCTGGATATGTGTGTCGATAGTAGGGGTTTTGAGTGCTGAATTCATGACAGCAGTAGTGTGGTTACAATTATATTTTATTGTGAAGCGTGTGGTGTGGTGCTGAATAGTAGAGGGTGACTCATTTGTTTATTATAGTGATTTCTTTGAAGGGTGAGGTGAATCGGTTAGGATGGCATCAATTGGAGAAGGTGGTGACAATAAGATAGGTGTTATGATTTCTCTTGATTACTTAAATGTTCAAATGGCTTCTAATAAATTAAATGGTGAGAACTATGTGCCATGGGCTAAATCTATGGAGGTGTTTTTAAGAGGCAAGAAAAAGGTGAAACATGTGAGAGAGGAGAAACCCTCTTCTGATTCTCTAGGGTTTAGTGATTGGGAACAAGAGGATGCACAGATCATGACCTGGTTGTGGAATAGCATGGAACCTAAAATTAATGTGAATTTTATGTTCTTGGATACAACTAAGGAAATTTGGGGCCATGCTAAGAAACTTTATTCCGGCCCAGATAATACCACTAGAGTATACTAGCTTTATCAAGAATACTTTAACCTAAAGCAGGGTAGCCAAAGCTTGGAAGAATACTATGCAAGCATGAGAAATTGAGTCCTAAGGCCAAAAAATATATTCTTCTGGGGTATGCTTAAAACTATAAGGGGTATTGTTGTTATAATCCTGTGTCGGGGAGCAGGTTTGTCACTGTGGATGCTACCTTTTTTAGTCCACATTCATTTTCTTTGGTGGTTCTCCTCAAGGGGAGTGTTTTGGGGAGGAGAACTCATAGTTTATTCCTCTTCCTGTTCCTTCATCTGGTCCATTAGCTCCACCTTCAGTTTCACCTATTGCTCCACCATTAGCTCCTCTAGTYCCATTGCCTAATCCACTACAATTGCCTTTTAGTTCTTTTAGCATCAATGCAAGAGAATTGAATCCACATATGTTCCAGTAGAAGAACATGCATCACACTTTGTTGGTCCATTAGAGATTCCAGGTTCGGTTGATACAGTTCCAGGTTTTTTCCTTGAGCCTATCATTGCCCTTGATTCCATTAATGATGTTTCTATACTAACATTGATGTTGCAATTGATCTTTATCTTCCCGTTGCACTTCGCAAGGAAAAGAGAAAGAGTACAACTCAATGTATTTCACGCCATCTCTCCTATAATGCCTTATCACCTTCCTACCATGCTTTCCTTTCTTCCCTATAATGCCTTATCATCTTTCCAAACCTGAGTGAAAAACAACTATGATAGAAAAAATGGAGGCTTTGATTAAGAACCAGACATGAGAGATAGTTGGTCTTCTTGYAGAAAAGGAGACATTTGGGTGTAGATGGGTGTTCACTGTGAAGTATAGGGCCAATGRCAACATAGAGAGGTATAAGGCAATGTTGGTTGCAAAAAGGTATACATTGACCTATGGTGTAGATTATTGGGAGACCTTTGCGACAATAGCTAAGATGAGCTTAGTTCGGATCTTCTTGTCTCTAGCAATTACTTACTCATGGCCACTCCTCTAGCTTGATGTTAAAAAATGCATCCCTTAATGGTATTTTGCGGGAAGAGGCATATATGGTTGCTTTAGATGGTTTTTATGAGAATGTTGGTGAGGGAAAAACTTGTAGGCTGAATAAGCCTTTATATGGTTTGCAACAATCACCTAGGGCATGGTTTGGCAAGTTTAGGGGGCATTGATCCGTTTGGATACACACAAACCTAGTTAGGACACACTCTCTTTGTGAAGAGAGAATCACTTGTAACAACGTTGATTGTGTATGTGGATGATATAGTTGTTACAAGGAATTATTTGAGTGAGATTGTTGCACTCAACAAGTCACTACAACAAGAATTTTAGATTAGGGATCTAGGTAAATTAAAATATTTTTTTGGGATTGAGGTTGCAAGATCCAAGCATGGGATATTCATCTCTCAAAGGAAGAATTTATTGGACCTATTGTAGGAAACTAGGAAGCTAGGAGTTAAACCAAGAACCACAGGATTAATGCTTTGAATGGTGAGTTGGTTAAGGATGTGGGGAGATATCAATTGAGGTAGGCCAACTACTATACTTGTGCATGACATGCCTGACATTTCCTATTTTGCGAGTTAGTATATGCATGCTCCTCTGGTTCAACACTGAGAAGCTATTGATGGGATACTTGCATACCTAAAGAAGCATCTTAGTAGAGGAATTTTATTCCTTGGTAGGTTGCCTGATCCACTTTAGGGTTGTGTACCTTTGGGGGGGGGGGTTGGGAATTTGGTTTCATGGAAAAGTAAAAAAATAGTTAGTGGTGGCAAGGTCAAGTGCAGAAGCTGAATATAGATCTATGGCACATGGTGTCTCATAATTATTTTGGGTTAGATCCTTGCCGAGTGAGATTGGGATAAGATGTAGAGGAACCAATGATGTTATATTGTGACAACCAAGTTGCAATATGCCCACAATCCAGTTTAGTATAATAGGGCAAAACACATTGAAGTTGATAGACAATTCACAAGAGAAAGAGTGACAGTTGGAGTAGTCTGCCTGCTTTATGTCACCGCTAAGTTACAATTGGTTGATGTCTTCACCAAAGGGGTCACAAAGAACAAGCTTGAACATGACCTATGCAAGTTGGGAATGTGTGACATTTACTCCCAACTTGAGGGGGAGTGTTGAGGAGTTTGTGCAGATTTGTTGGTTAATTTGTTTAGTTAGGGAGTGGGGACCACAACACACCTGTTGGGACCCTTTAGAGTGGTGTTTTTAACTCTTTTTATTTAGTTTTTTGTGTTTGCCACCCTATAAGGGCATTTTGGTTTTTGTACATATTTTTTACTTAAAGAATAAATAACAAAAGGAGGGGGCATCCAGATCTGATTGCTCTCTCATTCTTTTCTCCATTCTTTCTATTCTTCTCTCTTCTCACAAAAACCTCTTCTTTTCTTAATCTTTCTTTGTAGTTTTTATTTCTGCATATTCTATACTATTTCCCTTGAGCTGCTTATCTTTATTTTATCTTCCTAGTTTGTTGACTTGATTTTAATTGCCTCTAATTTGTAGTATGAGTTGTTGGTTTTAAATATAATTTTGAATGGGGTCATTATAATCAGTGCTTTGGCCTAGATCTTGTTTACAAAATTGTTTGGACTTGACACTTTGCTTTAACTAAGAATTCTTCCCCCTTTAGGATCCATTCAGTGCGACACTATAATTGTTTTCTACTTAATTCCAATCATGCCATTTTTCAATCTTCTTCTGTTAGTGCCAAGACGGTTGGCTGTTGTTATAGTAGAGAATGATGGGCACACAACAGGTTAGAGGAGTACTAAAAGCTTTAAGAGAGATAAGTGGAGGGTTGGAAGGAAATCCATAACCTTCTTACAATTGTTATGAGTTTGCCAGTAGGTAGTGGTGTTTTTTGTCCTTTGTTGGTGGATGATGCTGGATTCGAGGTTCTTGTACCTGTGTGTTTGTGTTTTGTTGCATGTCTGTATGGGCAAGAGGCATAGAAGTTTGTTTTCTTGGATTGTGGTTGTATTGGTGCCACTTTTGGACCTTTTATTTGTTTTGCATTTTTTGTACAATTTGTTCTCTGGAGAGATGGGCTGCTGTTGTCCATGATGCAGGTTTCTTGAAGGTTGTTTCCATTTTTTTGATAACTGAAGTTTGGTTCTGTTTCTCTTTGTTAACATATTGAATTAGGAGTGGGGGGGGGGGTTAGTAGTCCTTTTTTCGATTTATAATAGTAAAACTTTGTTGATTGTTGTTGAGAGTAGTTTATTTTCCTTTTATTCTTTTGATCTGGGTTATTAGTGTCATTTATTATTCCTTGAATGGGGTAGTATAGGATGTTTATTGTTTTTATAATTCAGGGGCATACTTATATCTTGATCTTTTATGCTAATCTATATACAGAAACCTGGCCAACTGGAGGTTCTTTTTTGTTGGCCTGCACATACTCCCTTCCTTTTCTTTTCTCCTCTCTCTCTCTCTTTCCTGTTATTTTTCTTCTATTCTCACATGTAGTTCTGACACCAATAATAAGAATTAAGTTATATTCATAATCATATATATCACTTAATATTTTTGTTATTATGAAGAATAGTTTGATATATGCACATCTTTTTATTCTAATAGGTAATTAGTTTATTCTTTTGTTTTTTATTTTGTTTCATTCCTTTTTATGAATATTGTATTTCAAACATTAATGTTTTTATTGCTATGAAGAAATATTTTCTGTATATGCATATCTTCATATTCTAATAAGTAATTAATTTATTCCTTTATTTGTTTTTTAATTCCTTTGTTGAATATTTTATTTTATATTCTTATGTATGAATATTTTTAATATATATTACTTTTTTGTAGTATATTAATATAATTTAGTAATGTATTATATATCAATGTTTGATTGGCATTTTAGTGAAGGTCTAGAATATTACCATAGACCCTCATGTATTATAACATATTGTATTATTCTATTAAAGATTCCTTTTATTTTGTTGTGATGGTCTGTGGGCTTTTCATAGACCAACGTGTATCATAGCAACGCCTTTATAAGTTACAGTGTTAAGATAAAAAATCACTATTCATTTCATTGTTTAGTTCAAGCATAAAGGGTTCTGTTTGAACACTCAACTTTGGAGTCCAGAACTTGAAGCACAAGAGGAGTGCATCAGAATTATTCTTTTTCACACCTTGATGCTACCTGATTTGAACCCTAAACTTGCGTTTTCACACCTCAAGCTTCCAGGTATGGAAACTGGAATCTGTTTTCTTTTTTCCCCTCCTTAATCTCATCTCTTGATGCTACACATGCTTCCTTTCTTTGTTTTGATCTTCTCTTTATTTTTTTTTATTTACCCTGCTGTTATTTTCTCTTTTTTCTCTGTTTTTTATGTGAAACAAGAGTAGTGTTGTTTGTGTTTAGGAATAATTTGACATGTTCAAAATATTAGGAAATAATGTATATTTTTTTGTGTTTAGAAAGACTTAGTCGACATTTGGCTGAAATATCGCAAATGTCAGCCGACATAAGGTATTTTTCTCATTCATCTTAAAGTTTCTGCCAATGGGTCTTGACACTGACATATGTCAGTCGACATTTCTGACAGTTTGTGACATTTTAGACCATGACCAAGTCATAGATCTTTTCTAAATCTAACTTGAACATCGTTCTTTTCCTACCAGATCTTTTCAAGTCCTTCACTCATTTAATAGCAATTGGGGCCTGCTTGTTGATGTGCTTTCCTAGGATAAAAGCCCCTGGCAACTGAGACACCATAAAGGGAAGAGCCTCTTTTAACCATAGGGATGATTTTTTACTAGAATTTTGTAATGACAGGTCACTAAGATGGTTGGTTTCAAGTCTCTAGGGTGGCTGGCTTTTGGCTTCTTGGGAATTAGTGCTATAAAAGAGGTCAACCTTCCATTGAGGGTAAAGTTTGGGGTCAGTATACTTCAAATATGCAATAAAAGAATGGAATAAATCATATAGTTTACAATATGTTTCACAAACATAAAAAGGAAGGCCTGATAGGTTGAGATAGGAAATGAGGGTCTTTGAGTCTTTGTTTCAAACTTGTGTGGTCCCTTTGTTTATGGGACCAAGAGTGCAACTTTGACTATATTAATGTGGTCCGGAACCACCACATCATCTAAAGAACAGAAGTTTCCTTAAAAAATCCTCCCATTTCTTTCTTTCCACAGAACCCAACACACCATGTGAGGAATAGAACTCCAAAGCACCTTTCCCCTACCACTTAAGCCCGACAACTTCCAAGAAAAAAGTAAATCTGGCAGAGAACTCGACAAACACCAGCTGACACTCAGCAGGGAGCTGAGATGACTGAAGTTTTATGAGCAGGCGAGCAGCCTTACAATGAATGAAAATGTGATAAGAAAAACTCAACTTCCTTCTCACACATGACACAGATCAGAGACTCCAGCAGCAAACCTCTCTTGTCCAGCTGATCCTTTGAAAGACATTTGCCATGAGCTGACACCTTTCTTGGAATGTGAGGGAGCCACCTCTTTACACTGAAAAGCCTGAGAGCCACCAGCAGACAGCTTCATATAAAAGGAGTTCACAGAGGAAATGCCATCACTAGACAACTATTTCCAGACCCTTGAATCTTGCTGATTTGGGTGTGGATGTTGAGTCTGAAGTAGCTGGAATAGCACTAGCAGGTCTGAAATCTCCCAGTCATTGAGATGTCTCCTGAATTTAGACACCAAGTCCCAATACTCCCGCACCACTCAAACTGATCTGCCACCATTGCATCCTTATCCTTAACTATAAGAAACAGTGAAGGAAAGACCTCCTTTAAGGCAGAACTGTTACACCAAGGGTCTTGTCATGAAAAGAATAAAAGAAGGGTTCATCTCTATCTTCATACTTTTCTCATATTGTCTCATCGTTGTTCTTGTCAACTTCATGCTTCTTAGATACCTTCCATCTTCCTATTTATTGTACTAACATTTTCTACTTGTTTATTGATTCTTATTTTGTTAGATTTGTTCTAGTTACATTTGTTTCCTGGAGCTCCGAAAACTGGAATTGAATTTCAAAATTCTGGACTTATTCATGTTGGAATTTAAAGTCTTGCCCACTATCCTCTTGCAACCAGACATGTAGTTATTTCTTCTTTAGGGCTTGATTTCCCACTATTTTAACTTACACAAGAATTACTTTTATTAATTGGCAAAATTGGAAACATGGATTTGTAGGACTCAACATAGATTGCAAAGAAATTATTTTCTACTACTCGGAAGATCAAAGACATTCAGGAAGATACTTTGTGTTAGATAAGACCCTATATAGCCATTAGCTTCAGATATAACCAAATAACATTGTCATTGAACCATTGTTGCTTTCTGGTTTCCATCTAGTTGCATGAATAAGTTAGATGGACTATATTAAATATGGTTAATCTTGTATTTGAATTGTGAAAGAGCTTGCTTAAAGGAAGCAGGTGGTTCTGAATCCTGATGATGCAATATATGTGGAATAATTGAATATTGTTTATCAAAATAAACTTCTTCGTAACATTACTGTTGTACAATTACATTTGGGCTGTTGTTTCCTTCAATATTTTGTTTGATTGTTGATTTTCGAAAAAAGTATTTTGCTTGATTGTTTTGTAGGATCTTCCACAATTATCAATAAAGGAAGTTAAGACAACTGATGGTGCATGTTATTTGGAATTGAAAATATCATCTCGGTCAAGGTCACAAGATGGTTTTTGGAACTTTCTGGAGAGATATGGGTTCCGCTATGGTGATGGCTCTCAGCGTACATTGCTCCCTAGTGAGGTCTGCTGCTTCAAACTTTTGTCCAATTGTATCTTATCAGTAGTTTTCTTGATTATAGGAGAAAACAATGAATAAAACATGTAGAAATTATAAAGGAAGAGAAAAAAAATGCAGAGAAGAGAGAAAGAAGAAAGGAAGAAGTTGGAAGTACTGATCGTTGGTTATAGTCTAACCCCAATATTTATTTTATTAATCAACATAATAAGAGGAAAAATTACATAGTTTCCCTCATATAGGCAGCTGCACACGTTCACTTAAATAACAAGTAAATAGCCTGACCCACATACCCAATATAATTAAAGAATGAAGCCTGTAATGAAAAATGCCAAATAGAAGTGATTGAGAAGGCACACCTTGGGCATGCCTAAGTGCACAGGTAAGACACATTTTAAGGCATTTGCCTCTCCTATGCCCAGGCACAGCCCCTTTAAAAAGGTACGTGCCTGTTGTGCCTGGAGCACCTTGCACCTCAGCCCAGTCATGTGCCTCTCCTATGCGCTTGAATATGTTTTATATGTTTATTTTTTTTTACATTTTAACTTTACATATGCTTTATATCTCATGTTTATATATTTTAATTTGAGCTAATAGGCCTTTTAAAACATTTAGCTTAAAATTTAAGTATGCATGCTTTAATAAATGCTATTTTTAATATATTTTGTTTTTTTTTGCAATTTTAATCAATATATATATATATATATATATATATATATATATGCTCCACACTTCAGAAAGGCATGTACCTCACCTTGTGCCTTGGGCGCAAAAAGCCCCTTGAACTTTTAAAACACTGACAAATGATAAGAAGGAAAAGAAACCAAGAGTCTCTTTCTGCTTGTGGGTGACGGCTTTGGGGAGGTGTCTTAACAGCTGAGAAGTTGTCAAAGAGAGGAAAGGAGGTAGAACACAGCAGATGTGTTCTGTGCGGCAACAGTTCCGAGAAGCTGAAAATCTTTTTCTGCACTGTAGTTTCAGTTGGGAAATATGGATGAAAGCAATAAGGGTGTTTGGAGTCCAAATGATGTAATGACACTATTACAGGGTTGGTTTTTGAGGGGTTTGTTGAGGAGAGGTAAGATTTTCTGGAAGGTGGTGCTGGCAGTAGTGTGGTCAATTTGGACGGAAAGAAACAGGAAGATTGTTGAAGACAAATTCAATTAAGAAGAGGAAGTTTTAAAGAGAATTTGTTGAAGGTTATTCTCTTGGATGGCGACTCATAAGTTATTCAATAATTGTCCTGGCAGCTCCTATTTTGAAAACAACACTCTTTTTGTATGAGTGATAAATAGTGGTTGTTGGGATGTAATGTTTTTTTTCTTTTTTGTTTTCCATTTATCCCAATACCTTATTGGGCCGGTCGCAATCTTTCACAATCTGTTTAATGAAATATTTTACCTTCGTCTTAAAAAAATGATAAGCAAGAAAAGAAACTGTTAGTGTTGGGGTATTTCTGTCTTTATACTTATGTTGAGGTTGCTGATCTGTAATATTATATTAGAACTAGTGTCCCTCACTTAAGTAAGGGCACATGTGTCTTTTCCATTATGTTAGTAATATGAAACATGTCTGGTCGAATGGGAGAAGAGATTTTTTCCCAATTCGAACCAGACTTTTCTTCTCTCCTTTTCTCCTCCTCTCTCTCTTTCTTTCTTCTTTCTTCTTCTCTCTTCTTGGCTGTTATCAGACTAACAGAACTCAAAGGCAGGCCGAATTATAATAGAAACCAAAACATGCCCAATAAAGGATATAATAATCTCAACAATACTTTCTATAATTGCTTTAAAACTAAGACAAATCCATAAGTAACCCATAAAGACACTTAAATAAGGGTTCCAGCTCCTAAACAACTCTAATAACACTTTCCAAATTGCACTAAACTTAATTTAAGGACATCAGAAATTACTTCCACAAGTTTACTAAAAATGGTAATTACACCAATTACTATAAATAGAAAGTTGGGAGGTTGCCTTAAATAGTAATTTTGAAACATCAATAAAAATCTAAGAAACAGAATCCTATTCTTAAGATACCCACAACTAGAAAAATAAAAAACTGATACAGAATGAATTTCCTATAACCCAAAAGTTCTGAAATTGGTATAGGAAATTATGAATTGGACAACTGACTTAGTTCTCTATGGATTCTTTACTTTCTTCCTCATCTGCGTCATCCTCTACCAGCCTATTTGCAAACCTATACACTCATTGATGCTTCTACCACTCTATCCTTTTAGTTCATTTATCTCTTTCAAAAAATTCTTGTATTGCCAGGGACAACTTTCTTCCTCTTGAATAAACTCTACAATCACTTTGGTATCACCCTCCACGTTGATGTATGAATAATTCGTTTTCTTTGCTAATGTTAACCCTTGTGAAACATATCATCTCTGATTGCAGTTCTTTTGTCCTGCTGGTCCAGAATGGAGTGTCAAAACGTCCTTGTTGCTTTTCCTGAAAACTCCACCTATATCAGAGGGGCCTGGGTTGCCTCTGCTGCAACCATCAATGTTGAGTTTGATTGGGAGAGGTGGAGGAGGTTCCCATTGGGTATGTTTAACAACCTTCCTGATAGAGCTGGCAATCAGATGCCAGTTCCTGACAATGTCATCAGTGGAGAAGGATCTAAACAAATCCTTTGTTTTATCCTGTAGCGGTGTGGAGTAGTAGTTTATTTTAATGTGGTCCCACCTCATATTGTCTTTATTTTATGTTACTTTATGTTGTTTTTTAACAGTTAGTTGCAAATCTATAAATAGATGGGTGGGGTGGCAAGTCTAAGTCAACCATACTCTTTCTTTTGTTTTATTGGATTCACATCAGAAGAAATACTACTCACAGTCTTTATCTGCCAAGTTGGTATCAGAGCCAACCTAGGGTTGGTTAGGGTTCTCATGTATGTCTGATCCAGCTGACTTCCATAAGAACTTCCTAGGGCTGGAAGTTTAGCACAAGTTAATCCATCACCTGATTATTGGAGGTTTTTGGAGGAGTTTGGTAGATGTCCAAGGGCTTGTAGAGCCTTGGAGAATGCCCGGTAACCAGGAAGAATCAGAGAAAAACAAGGAAGTTCAAGATTAGGGCTCAATCTAAGGACTGGATGGCAATCAGGATTTTTTGAGTAAGTTATTTTTTTTCTTTGAGATCAGCACTAGTTAGGAAAGGTTTAGACTTACCTGGAAGGAGCGGCTGGTGTTTTTTCTGTTTCTCAGAGTTTTCTCTAGGGTTTTCATAACCCTACAATCAATTTTCCAATCTCAGCCCTAGTGTTCTTACTGTTAGAACACATTAGAGGGAGGAGGCCACCTGTAGGTGGATTGAAAAAAAAAACTAAAAAAGAAGTGCTAAAAAAGTACTTCACATTAGAGGGAGGGGGGCCACCTGCATCCAAAGAGAGCAAAAACCCATTCCCGAATGGCAGACACAAATRTGTGGAAAAAAAACATTGGTATGGCCTCTTTTTTGAAGTGTCTCACACATGCAAGTTTTAAATGATAAGCTTCCCGACAAACGACCCTCATGTAAGGTTAGACGAGAATCAGAGACAAGGAAAATATAAGTTAAATAGAAGGATTGAATCAGAGACAAGCAAAAACCCAAAGTTGTGTTATAAATAATTTATGGAGGCTTTTATAGAGTTGGTGTGCATACTGTATTGGGTATGGGGTAAGGCGGGCTACGTCCTACCCTGTATATTTTTTGCATATAATGATTCTATTAATAGAATTTTAAGGTGGCCACCCCTCCACATGGAGTAAATTTTGGGGATTAAAAAAACAATGGGTGTATGGTAAACAACTGTTCTGGGTTGACTTGTAAATGAGTTTTATTACCTTGTAAAGGAAATGCCTCATTTGTATTTACATGATTATGTAATATGCTTTAATCTGAAGCTGTTGTTGATAAGATAATATGCTTTTATCAGAATGAGTGAAATCATTTTACTGATTGAATAAAATGAATGGGGTTTGGATCACTTTGTACAACAAAATTTTTTTCCAGTGCACATATGTTCTGATTGCTTCCTGACATCTGGTTTGTCTTATGCACCAAATTTTCAGTCTCTAGAAATTTTGAAAAGAATTCCAGAGGAAACCAGAAGAAAGCTTATTGGGAAAGGACACTTTCCTCAGTATGGTTATATTTTGCAGTATTTACCTGTCCCTCCCAATTGTTTGTCTGTGCCTGATATTTCTGATGGAATCAGTATCATGTCTTCAGTAAGTTGATATATTTTGTGTATCTACTGCATGAATCACTTGATCATACTGTTTCTTGGGTTTTACCTTTATGTTGACTGCTTGTTTTTGCTTGTTTTCCAGGATCTTTCTATCACAATGCTTAGGAAGGTTCTTAAGCAAATTGAAATCATCAGGAGTTCAAGATCAGGTGCTCCAAATTTTGAGTCTCAAGAAATTGAAGCTAATGAGTTGCAGTCCACTGTTGCAAATTATCTTCATGTTAGGGGTACTGCAAAGGTATGTTAAATACTCATGTATGGCGTGCAAATACTCATGTGGGGTGCTTGTGGGGTGTGCTCTGTGGGGACCCCAACCCTGTGCAATTTTGATAAAATTTGGATATGAATGGTTAATTTGTAGTACTTTATAATTTATTATAAGCAACTTTTTTGCTTAGTGTTGTTCGCACTTATTTATGCATCCATCTTTATTATTTTTGTTTTGTCTGAGCAGATTCCATAATTTATGAGTCCCTGAATCCTATTTTTAGCGGTTTCAAAGTCTAATACCTTTTTACCCACCTCTAATTTTGATACTCCTACTGGTTTCCATATCATGTACCTTATGTGCTCTCCTTGATACTGTCAACCAGCAGGAAAGAGAATAGTAAACCAAGAAGAAAATAGGAAGAAGAAAGAGAGGAAGCACCAAGGTTTAATGTGGTTTGGATTGGTAGCCTACAGATTCACGACAAAATGTCCACTCACTCAACCCCAACCCCACACAACCAATGGTTTAAATAAGCAAAAGACCAAATTATATCAGAATTTCACACAGGTGCCTCTTCTTCCCATATATACATACAAGTCCCCAAAATTTATCAACATTACAATTTTACCCCTGTAACGTCCAACTGATACTCCTTCTAGTATCCATGTAATGAACTCTATGTTCTCTCCTTGATACAGAAACTAAGACAAATGACATGGTTGTGTTATTAATCTGTAAGTATCATCATCATTGTCATCTAAGCCTTGTGCCAACTATATGTCGTTGACTATATGAATCCTGATTTATCATTCTTTTCTGTTTAATGCTATATCCATTGTTAAATTATGAGCACTTAAATCATTTTTTACTACTTTTAAAACCATGTCCGTTTTGGTCTGCCTTTAGCCTATCTAGCCCCTTAAAATTGTAATAGAAAGCGTCTTCTTACGGGCTCTGAAGACCGTCTTCTATCCACGTGACCAGACCATGTTACATTGTCTCATTTATCACCTAGTTGAGATACTCCTAGGATCCTTCAAATGATTTAATCTCTGTCCCTATCCTTTTTCACCACACTCGTTTTTTGGGATTCGGCTTCAGTCCAGGCACGCAATATACGCGCACCGTTTGCGCAGCATGAGGACGCGCCACACGTCTTTTATTCATGTGTTGGTTTAATACGTGCGAAATGAATTAAACGGAGTCTATCCTTCATGCCGTTAGCTTCTCATTAGTTCCATTCCACTTCCTGCTCGAGACTAACCTGACTCTGCCATCGCCAGTCACTCTCATTCTCTCCCTTTCCAACTGGCGGTGATTAACAGCCATCACCGGCAACCCCCTTAGGTTTTTCGGACTCTGCCCTTATAGAAGCCAGACTGTTATCACTGGCGACTGATAGAAGCCAGACTCCTGTCAACGGTAATCATTTAGATTCGCCTACCCTTGCTGAACAAGCAAGAATGGAGGATTCTATGGACAAAGGAGTCCGATGAGAGAAGAGATGACCACTGGAAACAAGAAGTAGAGGTGTCATCGTCGTTGTCTCATGTTTTCTCCCTCTGCCGCTTGTGGAGTCAGTTTCAACCTTCAATCTGGAGAATGTCGTCTGCAGCCATGGATTGTTCATGGTGGCACTGAACCAGTGCGACCCATGACTAAGACCTATCTTCCAGTGCCCATTGAGACTCTCTGATGAAACCACTTCCATTCTCATCTGCATCTCCCATCCCCCCAATTCCCCTTCTCTCCATGTCCGCATTCTCGACACCAGTTCCCTCTCTCCCGACGATCAAGAAGTTCTGCTGGTACTCAACTATCTACCTACTTGTAGTGTTGCCCTTCTTTCTCTTCCTCCAGTTTATTAACTTAGCGTGTGATTGTTACTTTCAGGCTCAGGTAGTGCGAATGCTGTGATTGTCGGACAATGATGAAAGGACTATAAGGGGGCTTCACAAGATCCACCATGAAGCCAAAGAAAGGGGTTTTGGCAGAAAGAGTACAAACAGAAATATGTAAAGTATACAAAATACAAGGTTTTCTTCTCTACAAACAGAATTCGTCCTGAGTTCAGCTTCAGTCTAGGCACGCTATATACGCGCATCGGTGATGACTGTTTGTACTCTTTCCGCCAGTGATAACTGTCCGGCTTCTATCAGGGCAGAGTCCAAAATACCTGAGGGGGTCGCCGGTGATGACTGTTGGTAGCCGCTGGTTGGAGAGGGAGAGAGTGAGAGTGACTAGTGAGGGCAGAGTCTGATGAGTCTCGAGCAGGAAGTGGGATGGAATGAATGAGAAGCTAGCGACATAAAGGATAGACTCCGTTAATTCATTTCGCACGTATTAAGCCAATGCACAAATCAAAAGACGCGTGGTGCGTCCTTGTGCTGCGTGAACGGTGTGCATATATAGCATGCCTGGACTGAAGCCGAACTCCATTTTTTGGACATTTTTCTTGACTTCTCAACACTCTTCTCCATTCTGCAGTTTTGGATTTACAGCTGCTTTATAGAATTTTCTTTTTAATCTATATGGTATTTGCTTATTGTATGAGACCCCAGATGCTCCCCTCCATTTTTCCCATCCTCTATATTATTCTATTAATATATAATTGTTATTCTGATTGTATTTTCTTTTTTAATGTACCAGGCTTCTCGTGATGTGGACACCAGATTTTCAGTCAGTAAAGGAGTCAATGATACTTGTACAAAAGCATGGCTGGAAAAGATGAGAACACTGTTCATTAGTAAAGGGTCAGGATTCTCATCTCGCAGTGTGATAACAGGGGATGCTTATAAAGGAATTAATGAAATAGGTCTTCCATCAGAAGTTGCACAAAGGATTACATTTGAGGAGAAGGTGAGCATACACAATATGGATCATTTACAAAAGCTGGTAGACAATAAATTGTGCCTAACTTACACAGATGGTCTGTCCACATATTCATTAAGAGATGGGTCAAAGGGATATACATCTTTAAGAGTTGGCCAAGTTGTACGTCGGCGGATCATGGATGGTGACATTGTTTTTATTAATAGGCCTCCAAGTACACACAAACATTCACTGCAAGCATTTTCAGTATATGTTCATGATGATCATACTGTGAAAGTTAACCCCCTTATTTGTGGGCCCCTTGGAGCTGATTTTGATGGTGATTGTGTTCACTTATTTTATCCCCAGTCTTTGGAAGCAAAGTCTGAGGTTTTGGAACTATTTGCAGTTCAACATCAGTTGCTTAGCTCTCATAGTGGAAATTTGAACTTGCAGTTGGCTAATGATTCCCTGTTGTCGCTTAATATTTTGTTCAAGAGATTTTTCTTTGACAAAGCATCTTCACAACAGTTAGGAATGTTTGTTCCAATGGGCTTACCTCAGCCTGCCTTGTTGAAGGCCCACCATGATGACCCTGTATGGACTGCCTTGCAGATACTGCAGACTGCTTTACCTTCTTGCTTTGATTCTTCGGAAAGGAGATACTTGATTAGTCAGAGCGAGATATTGAAATTTGACTTCAACAAGGATGCCCTGCAGACCTCCTTTAATGAAATAATTAATTCCGTTCTCTTTCAGAAAGGCTCCAAAGAGGCACTTAATGTAGTCAATTCTTTACAGCCACTTTTGATGGAACACATATTTTCAGTTGGTTTTAGTGTCAGCTTGAAGGATTTTTCAATTCCAAGAGCAGTTACAGAAGAGCTCCATAAAATGGTTGAAGTCATTTTACCCCTGCTGCATCATTTGAGATCAGAATATAATGAAATGGTAGAGTTGCAAGTTGAGAATCATCTGAGAATTGTGAAAGTTCCTGTTGTGAAGTTTATTTTAAAATCATCTATTCTGGGTAATTTAATTGACTCAAAAAGTGATTCATCCATTAATAAGGTAGTTCAGCAAGTTGGGTTCTTGGGCTTGCAATTTTCAGATAGAGGAAAGCTCTACTCTAGGACTTTGGTGGAGGCCTTGACTTCATTTTTCCGTAGTAAATATTGTGTTAATAGAGATGGTGAATCTCCAGAGAGCTTTGGGCTAATTAGCAGTTGTTTTTTTAATGGTTTGAACCCATATGAAGAGTTGGTTCATTCCATTTCTTCTAGAGAAGTGCTTGTTCGGTCATCTAGAGGGCTAACTGAGCCTGGAACTTTGTTTAAAAATTTGATGGCCATTCTTCGAGATGTTGTTATCTGTTATGATGGAACAGTGAGAAATGTATGTAACAACTCTTTAATCCAATTCGAGTATGGGGCTGACCTTGGAAATACTCCTCCAAGTTTCTACCCTGCTGGTGAACCTGTTGGTATTTTAGCTGCAACTGCAATTTCAAATCCTGCATACAAGGCAGTTCTTGATTCTTCTCCAAGTAATAATTCGTCATGGGAGCTGATGAAGGTATTCATTCGTTTAAGTTGTTAAGTTACAATGGCACAATATCTTAGTTTACTTATTTATTTGTAAAATCTGTGTGTATTCTCCAATTATACATGCATAAATTTGTCTCACTTTTCCTTCATTATTTGTAGGAAATACTACTCTGTAGAGCTAGTTTCAAGAATGATCTAATTGACCGCCGGGTAATTTTATACTTAAATGATTGCGGTTGCGGGGGATACTATTGCAAAGAAAAGGCTGCGTATATAGTTCAGAATCATCTGAAGAGAGTCAGTCTGATGGATATTGCAGTTGACTTCTCTATTAAGTAAGTATTTTATTCAGTTTTATTTTTCTTAGATATTTGAACACCATGTTGTGGTAATAGTCTCATCATTTTTAGCTGTGTTCTAGTGACTAGATGAAACTCTGTGCAAAAGAAAAAAGGGGAAGGGCCATAAATAAGGGAGAATGATGGGCAGGAGAAAAAGATGGCTCTCCCATCCCAGGCAATTCTATTTAGATGTTGTCTTACTATGAAATAATTGCCCTGCCATTATACTTGGACATGATTAAAATAAAATGAAAGTCATTATAAAAAGACACTACTGCATCTTGTACTAAATGACAATCAACCTCTATGTACTCAGTCTTCTCATGAAAACCTAGATTGGAGTAAATATGAAGTATGAACTGCCACATTGCTATCAAAATACAACTTTGTAGGAGCAGTCACAGTAAAGCCAATTTCTTGGAGTAAATATTATAGTTAGACCAACTCACACATAGTATGGGTGAAGGATGTGCAAGGTTGTCCTGAAGGATGTGCAATGCCCTGAGGCAGATATCTCACTAAATTTTGGAGTAAATATGAAGTATTTCCATTTAACATGGTTCTTCAATTTCTAAGTGGCCATTAGCCTTGTATATCAGGCCATTTCCAGGATTCCCTTTCAGATATCTCACGATCTTTGTAACAGCATCACAATATGGCACTCAAGGATTTGGCATAAACTGACTTGACACATTGTTTCTAAACAAGATGGTCGGCCTTGTGATTGTTAAATAATTCAGTCTTCAAATAAGTCTTCTTTTACCTCTCTGAATTATCACCCAAGTCACCTTGATCTCCACTCAATTTGGTGTTATGAAATTGGTTGAAATTGATTTTGACAGAAAACAACAAAAATAGAGGGAAGGGGAAAAATATGATTGGAACTAGGAACCTTTAGTTGTGAGGATTTTTTTAAGCATTTTAAACATGGCTGCACCAGCTAGAAGAGGTCTCAAGCCACTCAAGCAACTTGGAAGCTTTAATGAAAACTTACAAGTGGAGCCATTGGTTTCTCCTCTCATATGTTTTAGTAACATTGGGATTCTCAAATCTATCTGGAAATTGATTTGTTATACTTGTAGTTTGCGGCACTCCAGAAATTAACAAAAAACTTCCAAAGAAAGAAGGGGAGAAGCTGTAGGGAGAAGAGAAAACCAGAGAGAAGAAAGAGACAAAAGAGGTTAAAATGGGAGGCAAAAGTTCTAACTGGTGCCCCAATAGATGCATTATATATTCAATTTGAATACATTTAATTGACAAAAATACACCCACCACCCTAATAAAGATGTGGTCCCAACTCAAAGTTAATTAGACTACTCTGACTAGGTGGCGTTCTGTTGGTTTAAGTCTGAAGTCTGAAAAGCAAAAAAGAACTGACAGAAAGTACTTTGAAAATTTGTGATTTTTTGTTTTGTCTGATATTTGAATGTAGAGAGTGTTGTTTTAAAATGTGAATGCTGAATTTTGAAAATGGATAATTCATCATTATGCCCCCACAGTTGAATATGAGAATGAATATTTATAGAACAATAATATTGAAAAAATAATATTAAAAAATATTTCCATAATAATAAACAAATAATAAAACTATAAAATAGTAATAAAATAAAAAATTAATAATAAGAATACTAATAATCATCAGCATACTGCACCACCGCCAGCACCAACAACAACAACGAAAACAAGTATTAGAGTATTGATATTGGGTATTGTATCGGACAACTTGGATACCAATATGGATACGCTTTGGAAACTCAAGGATATGGACGAAAAATATGGAAATTCTTGGATACGCTAGGGGAATGCATACAAATTAGCAGTCCTCTGTAGGAGACTGTTTACCTCTTCCTCGTATTTTATTATATCTGTTTTTTTCTCACTAATATAATTTCAGTTACTGATATAAACACTAAATTTAATGTCAAAATAGCCACAAATAATGTATAATGTATAAAAACATAGAAAAGATAAGGGGAAAGAAAGTGGTTTGCCACCTTGCCCCCTGCCCCTTCGGCTGGGGGGCTTCGCCCTCCAGACCCCCCCCCAGCACTGTACATGGTGCTCACAGTTTTATCCATGGATGAATAATATATTGGACAATAGAAAAATGTAAAATTTAGCCAAATTAGAAATAATAGATTGGACGATTAAGGAATTTAAATTAATTAAATAATCTACATTACTTAAGCTAAATTAGGAAATTAAGCCAATTAACTAAATTAACTATTTTAGTAAATTCAGTAATTAAACAAATTGTTTAAGTAAAATTAGTACATTAATTATTTAAGTAAGTAATAAATCAATTACTTCATTTTACATTATTTACATGGTTGCCTTAGTTTTCTTAATCAATGTAATTTACTTGCAATGTTTTATTTATTTAAATTAAGTAATTAAATGTATTAAGTTAAGTAAAGTAGGTTAGTTAAGTGAATGTACTAAATGATGTATATTATGTTAATTAACTAAACTAAGTAAATTATGTAATATCATTACCTTGTTAATGTTGTTTACTTAAATTTATTTATTAACATATAAGTTAAATCGGTTTAGTGTATTAATAATTTTATTTAATTAATTATTGACAACAAATACCATCTACACATGTACTAAATTAACTAAGCTATAATAAATGTTTGAGTATAAATAAAGTTGGTTATTCATTGAGAGAAGATGGGAGAGGAGAGAAAGTTCAAGATGGCGGGGAAATGGCGTTTGGAGCTGACCATTGAAGCCAAATACTTCTTGTTCGAGCTGGGAAGGACAATGGGGAAGTCTCACCTGAAAATCAGAGAAGGGAACAGGGCAACAATTCTTCTTCTGGAGGAGGCGTGTTTGCCGTTGAAAGGTTTTGTGGATGGAACTGTTTTTTCTTTACAGGAAGAAGGTTGAAGAAACTCGATGACTTGTGGGAGGAAGAAATTCGAATCAGTGTTAAAGAGGAATGGAAACAGGTGGTTTAAAACGGTTACAGAACATTTTGACTTTAACAAAAGGCAAGTTTTGTGTATTCCGGAAGGCCAGAAAAGGAGAGGGTGGGCTTCCTTTTCTTTTAACCTTCAAGTTTTTCTATTGGAGGTCGAAGGGAGAGTGGAAGAAATTCCTGGTAGGAGTTGAAGGACTGTAATTTGTCCCCTCTCTGTGCTCAGGTGCCTTGCTTTAAGCAAAACAATGAAGTTGTGGTGGCTAGCTCGACTGAACTTCAGCGAGTTGCTATTGAAGAAGCGAGAGGGAGTTGGGAGCAGAGGGTGGTAGAAGATTGGACGAAGGTCTCAGAAGTAGTTGCCGAAAGGTTGGGCTTAGAAGATGTTGTTTTATTGCCCTTTGCTGAAAGAATGTTGTATTAGATGTTGGCGATAAGAAACTGAATCTCTGCACATTTAGTGTAGAGGGAAGTTTGATACAGGTTCAGAGCTGGACTCCAGTTTGCAACGAAGTAGTACCAAGAAGTGGCAGCTTCTTGATCAAACTTCTTGGTCTTCCTTTCAACCTTTGGAATGAACAAATCCTAAAGAAAAATGTCRAAGCGTTGGGTGGAGATCTGTTGTTGGCTAACTTAAGAAACCTGCGAGCTGTGGAACTTAAGGTTGCAGGGATCATGCCAGAAAAATTGCCTTGAGCCATCAAAGTTCTCTCAGATGATGCCTGGTTTAAGGTTTGGCTAGCCTCAGAAGATGAAGTGTCGCTTTGGGGAAGACGAACAGAGGTTGAAGGGACTGAAGAGTCTGAAGGATGGTGTACACGTGGCCTTCAGGGGATGGCGGGTAAGCCTGGTGCGTGTGGGCGGGCTAAGGAGGAAGGGGAACAGTCACAAGGGCGCCCCAATCCTCGAAGCTTTCCGTTTAAGGGTGTTGATTCAAATTTTTTTGAAAGAGGGTGGCCCATCCTATGCTGACGTGGCTAGAAGGGGTAAGGCCCGGGCGAACTCTTTTAAAACCTCTCTGTCTGAACCAGCCTTAAGGAAGTCTGAGTCGGCCGGTTCAGCGGGTGAGCCTATCATTACGAGTAGCCCTTTAGATTGCCCACGTGACAACTTAAGTCATCATGTGGGGCGGGGTAGGCCTAGGGCGATGATAGATGAAAACTATCATCTATCATCGTCTAGGTTTCGTTCTCTCCACTATGGAGGGGTGTAGGAGGTTAGAATGGCAGAAGGTTGCCGTCCCTTGAGCTAGGTTTGACGACTGGCTGGCGACGAAGGAAAACACCAAGTTTCTGATCGCCTGAACCCACACTATTCGAGACTTAGTACAGAAGAGAAGGAAGAGGAAGGAAGAGGTTGACGAAGGTTGGATTAGTTGTGGTTCAAATTCTGACTATGATGAAAGCTCGGAAGCTTGTGAGAGTCTAGGCAGTGCGAAAGACGAAGATCGTTTTGAAGAACAGACCAAGGATGCTTTCAACCTGGATCTTTTGTTCATAGGGGATATGGTGGGGGAAGAAAAGGAGGAGGGGGAGAAGCAGGCAATTGAAACTTTCAGTATGCAACAGGGGTCTTATCCCATTCTCGGCTGAGCCCCTCCTAGGTTCTAGTGCTTTACAAGAGGCCAAAAAGAAGGTAGATTGGGTTGTTTAAGAGCTGAACAAGGGTACTTCACAGAGAGGTGCATTCTTGGGTACAGAAATGGGTTTTTGTGTTGATACAGTGATGGGGAAATTTTTCCCCCAATTCGGAGAGACAGAGTGCTCCAACTTCTCAAAAAAGGAAGTGACAACCACTTTTTCTCCTACGCTTTCTCCTCACATCCCAGCCTCAGGTAAATCCTTCAACTCTATCAATTCAGTTTTTGTTACTGATGAGTGCTCTATCTCCCTTGTTCCAGATTCTTCTCTCTACCAAGAGTCGGAAGCCTATGGTTTGAAAGCCACAATGAGTCTACAAGGGGAGGAAGTGGGTGAAAAAAATGGCAGAGGCAATAGTTTGGGAAATCATTGAGAGCTTTTTGGGTGAAGTGGAGAGGAAGGAATTACAAAAAGGGAGCTTAGAGAGGACAGAAAGGGCTGGTGAAGGTGGTAAGAGTAGGAACGAGTTGTTCCCTATGAGTAGGGAGTGTGTAACCTTAAAAAAATGGAAACTAGTGGGGAAGAGTCGGTTGCAGAGTTTGTGAAAAAGTTGGGGTGCAAACTGAAGAATCCGAATGACCTAAAAACCTACTTGCAAAAACAAGAGGACAGCAAGATGAAGAAGAGAAAGCTGAGTGGAGTGGAGAGATTAAAAAGAGATATTGAGGGGGACAAGAAGTTTGAGGTGAAAGGGGATAGAAGAAAAGGGTCTAAATAGATCTTGGAGGAGTTAGGGTTGAGACCAAGAGTTTAAAATGAGAATCTTAAGTTGGAATTTGAGCGGTTTGGGCAGCTTGCGGAAGAAAGCAACTATTAAAGAGGTAATTAAGAAGTTTAATCCAGATGTGRTAATGCTTCAGGAGTCCAAAAGAATGGACTTTGATTGTAGATGGGCTAGGAGTGTGTGGAGATCCAGGGGAATAAAGTGGGTGGTTGCTCCCTCGTGGGGTTCCTCATGAGGGATTGTGACCTTGTGGAAAGAAGAATTACTCATAGGAGTGGAGGAGCTAATCGGAGATCATTTTGTCTCCCTAAAGTTCAGACAGGTGGATGATGGGTATGAATGGGTACTAACAAATGTGTATGGCCCCAATGACTATAGGCAGAGGGAGAAACTTTGGGAAGAACTAAGTGATATTAGAGGCCTCTGGGAAGGTCCTTGGTGTGTGGGTGGAGATTTTAATGTAGTGAGATTTACAAAGGAAACTAACAACCCCAGACAGAGAGTGACAACAAGTATGATGAAGTTCAACCAATTTGTGGACTCCTTTGAACTTAAAGAAATTCCTCTCCTAAATAATAACTTCACTTGGTCCAACCTTCAATCTAGACCAATTTGCTCTAAGTTGGACATATTTTTGTTCTCAACAGATTGGGAGGAACATTGGGGTAATCTTGTTGGAGGTTTTGAGGAGCTTTGGTTTTTGAGGTAGTTGGTGTAAGTGGATTTGGGGATATGTCAAGACTTGTCATTATTCTATCCTGGTAAACGGCACTGTGGTTGACTTCTTTCCTACGTTGAGAGGCCTAAGACAAGGATATCCTCTTTCCCCTTTTCTTTTCTCCCTGATTGTTGATGTTTTTGGGAGATTGATCCATAGAGCTGACTCAAGGAATCTGATAAGAGGGTGGAGAGCAGGAAGGGAGGAGGTTCCTTTAACACATCTACAGCTTGCAAATGACACAATTCTGTTATGTGAAGGAGGAAATATTAATTGGATCTGGAATCTAAAGTTGGCAATACATCTCTTTGAACAGATTTCTTATCTCCAGATGAACTTTGATAAGAGCGGTGTGGTGGAGGGAATGTGGATGTAAGGGACCTAAGGGAATATGCAGGTGAGCTAGGATGTGCAATCTCGGATTGGCCCTTGACATACTTGGGCCTCCCTTTAGGAGACAATCCTAAGAATGTAAGCTTTTGGAATCCGATAATGGAGCGGTTTGAGAAGAGGCTGGCGGCTTGGAAGAGAAATTATATTTCTCTAGGTGGGAGAGTCACTCTTATTAGGTCTACCCTAGCTAACCTACATGTCTACTATTTGTCAGTGTTTAGATACCCTCAAAGGTTTCCAATCTTTTGGAAAAATTAATAAGGAATTTTCTGTGGGAGCCTAGAGAGGAGAAGAGAGATCATAGGGTGAGTTGGGAGGTGGTTACTAGGTGTAAAAAACTAGGAGGTCTTGGGATTGGTAATTTCAAGAAAAGGAATATGTCTCTACTAGGGAAATGGTTGTGGAGGTTCTCAGTGGAAAGGGATAAATTGTGGACTGAGGTTGTGGCTAGCATACATGGGATGGAAGACAATGGTTGGGATCCTGGAATCATGGCAAGGGCCACAACTGCTTCTCCTTGGAAATCCATTCACACTCTGCTTCTCGTCTTCTTCCYTTGGATAAGGTATGGTCTAAACTTTGGTAACCGAATAAAATTCTGGGAACAACTTTGGGTTGGGGATTCTCCTCTAAAGGACCAGTTTCCTTCCTTGTATGCTCTATCAGATTTGAAAAATGAACCTATCTCTTCTTTCTTGGTTCCTTTAGACTCCACTTCTAGCTTTGGGTGGAACCTAGGCCTGCTTAGGGCAATTAGGGATACAAACTTGGATGGCTTGGTATCTTTGCCTGCTTCCTTTGAGAATGTTTTCCTAAATCCTGCTAAGGAAGACACTAGATTTTGGACTCCTTCTAGCTTTGGTACTTTTTCTTGTGCCTCATTTTTTGAAACCCTAACTCAGCCTCCTTTCCCCTTTGGGTTGTCCTTTTTGGCTAAAGAAATTTGGAGCAGGCCTATTCCTCCTCAGGTTGGCTTTTTTTGTTGGGAAATTTTCTTGGAAAGAATTAACACATTTTACTTACTTCAGAGAAAGATACCCAACTATTGTCTACTTCCTAATAGATGTACTCTTTGTAAAGCCGATGGGGAATCTGACTACCACCTCTTAGTCTCTTGTAAGGTTGCTAAAACTGTTTGGGAGTGGGTTTTCTTTTGCTTTGGGTGTTATTGGTTTCCTCCGGAGAGTGTCCAAAGGTTGTTCTCTCCTTCTTTCTTCAGATGGCCTAAGAAGCAAGGGAAGACTATGTGGAGGAGTATTAGGGCAGCAGTGTGCTGGTCTTTGTGGGAAGAAAGAAATTCACACATTTTTTTAGACAAGGAAAGAACCCTGGAAGAACTGTTAGACCTAATCCTTTTAAGGGCTGCCCACTGGCTGAAATCTTTGGAGTTGTTCTCAGACTTTCTTGTGGTTGACTTGCTAAGAAACTGGAAAGAGATTGCTTCCACTGCTAGATGCAAGAGGACTCTTTGTCTCTCTTGGCCCCCTCCCCCCTCGGGTTTCATTAAGTTGAACTTTGACGGCAGCAGTGTAAGGAATCCAGGACCCTCTGGGATTGGAGGAGTTTTCAGGAATGAGGTAGGGGTTGCTATTGCTCTATTTTCTGACCCTATTGGAGAAGGTGACTCTCTTAGGGCTGAGATCTTTGCAGTGTTTGGAGGAATTCGAAGAGCAAAGGAATTAAATGTCAGTCAATTGATCCTGGAAGGTGATTCGAAGGTGGTGGTTAACTGGTTGAAGAAAGAGGACAGTGGTTTGTGGAACTTTAACAATGAAAAGAAACAGTTCTTATGGATGTGTAGGGACATTAAGATCCAATACAGCTGGGTGAAGAGGAGTGCCAACTCATTTGCGGATGGGTTGGCCAAGCAAGGGGTGAATAGGGAGTCTGTATTTTGGGCTAGTTTTTAAATTTTTCTCTCTGTATTCTCTTTGTATTCTGTATTTGGGGAGCTAAGATATTTTATCTCCTCTCTTGTATACATTCTCCCTCTTTTCTCTTAATTTAAAGAAGCTGGTGTTATTGATCAAAGAAAAAATGTTTGAGTGTAAACTTATTTATTAACATATTAGTTAAATAAGCTTAGTGAATTAATAAGTTAATTTAGAAAGCAAACAAATTAAATTTGTATTAACTTTTATTATGTGAAATAATAAATTCAGTTAGGATTTATTAATAAATGGTTATCATTGCTCATGTATTAAGTAAGGTATAATGAATAAATCAATGTTTAAATGGGTACGTTGTACCCGTATAAAATGATGGTGTGGTTGAGGCACATCATTGAAAATGGGTCAATGGTGACCTGTTTTTATTGCCTTCTTTACCCGAGACACAAAAACAGGTTTCAAGAATCCAAGATTGTTTGCATGTTTTCTCTTGGCTGTTTCAACTAGAAAGTGGTCATGGATGATGTCCAAATGTAAGAGGGAAAAATATAACCCTCTTACAATCTTGGATGAGAATGATGGAGAAAGCTCAGTCTGATGTTGGAGAAATCTTCAATGTACCTGGTTGAACGCTGGACCAAGTTGGAGAAACCAAGTTATAGTTTTATTTCTTCTGGATGTAAAGAAATCTCTGAATTAGATTGAACCAACACCCCCCCCCCCCTTCTGCAACTGATGAGAAAAAAAAGTGAGATGAAACAAATAATCTCAAGACTTAAACACAAAACTGAGTAAGATAGAAACCTATTGGTCTCAATGTGGCAGTTGTGCTCTAAACTCAACTGTTAAGGCACTCCTCTTCACCCAGCTGTATTGGATCAGAGTTAGTATAACACAAAAGTGAGTAAGGTATCATCCTTTTAGTCTTACTGTGACAGTTATACTAACTCTGATCTTTTCTCACGCATCTCCTATTTCCTTTGCAATGAAAAAGGGCTCCCTCACATTTTTCAAAATGCTCGAGAAAAGGAGTAAAAAGATAAAAAAAAATGTTGTTGATACGGATTTTTATCTGATTTAGACATGTTGTCAATGGTTTTCTGGTTAGCATTCTTCTAGGTGGTCTTCAGGTATTATAATGCTTTATATCTTGCTAATTTCAGGTATCAAAAGCAGTGTATTTTTCCTGGAAATTCTGTAACAAATGCAGGACTTGTTGGTCATATTCATCTTGATAAGGTTGTTTCAAGTCATCCATTTCATTATTTTTCCTTTTTGGTTGAAAACTTGGTATTATGCTGGGGAATATTGAACCTATATAGTCTTGAACAGATGAGTTTGAAGGCATTGAACCGAAGTATGGCTGATATTCTTAAGGACTGCCAGGAGACCCTCAATTCTTTCAGGAAGAAGAAAGACCAGCTTGGGCATATACTGAGGAGGGTCCTTTTGTTAGTTAGGTATGGTTTTGTTAGGTGGAATGAATGTTATATGTTTGTGGCTTTGTTGGACAGACCTTTGACCTTCAGCTATATTTGTTTGCACTAGTACAAATGCATGGAAGTGCAAATGAAAAGAATGCATTTTCTAATTAACCTTTTCCTCAAGTTTTACTTTACTTTGCTTGAGGTTTTATTTTATTGTATCTACACTGGAATCAAACAAAATAAAGTAAAAGCTGGAAATAAAAACACATCAGAATTTACACTCAAATCATTTGCAAACAAACCAGGCCTTAATGATTTGGTTTGCACCTGAACTGTTTTGGTCTTTTGCTGCAGTTGGAATTTGTCATGTTTTTTTTTTTCTTATTTTAAATGATCATTCTAGTCTTATTGCATATTTCTAGCTTGACTTTTTTCTTTTCTGTTTACCAAAAAGGGAATAGTCAGTCTAGTCTTCTTACAGATGTCTAGTTGAGTAATCCACTTGTATTGCTTAGTTGGAATTTCACTCTTGGAGCCTTCTTCTACATGAATTACTGTCAAGTTCCTTCTTTCTTTTTTTTCTGTCTTGGCCTATATTTCTTGTACTGTAAGGAGTTTGAGAGACTTTCGAAGAAGGGAGGTGGTTAGGAACTTGGTGAAAGGGGGAAGGGAAAATAGAGTATCTGTGGCTGTGAAGGATATTAGGGAGTTTATTCAAATAAATTGGTTGATAAATAATAGAATATTGGGCTAAAAATTTATATGGTCCAATGTTCAAGATCCGCCAATATTAAGAAGATTGGACATGCTTTTATTTAATGGAGAATGGGAGGAATTATTTCTTTTGGTGGTACAAGAGACATTGGCATTACCTTTCTTGGACCATACACCAATTCTTTTGAGGAGCTTCATCATATTGGATGGCTCAAAACCATTCAGATTCGAAAATATGTGATTGGGTCATCCACAGTTGATGCAATCCTTAGAGGACAAATGGAGAAATTATTGAATTCAATGCAGAGAAGGTTATATGGTAATTAAAAATCCGATGTTGTTGAAGGAAGACTTAAAAAGATGGAATAGAGAGGTGTTTGGAGACCTGGGAACAAGAAAAACAGATATCTTGAAGATGTATATTTGGACAAGTTGAAAGAAGAGAGTAAATGAGTAATCTATCAAGAGAAGGGAGGAAAGAAAGGGAGGTGTTAAGGGAGGAATTGCAGAAGTTGAATCATGCAGAAGAGGTTATGTGAAGGCAAAAGTCCAGGGAACTGTGGCTAAAAGGAAAAAAAAACACTGTTTTTTTCCATGCTGTGACAAGAAATAGAAGAAACAAATTTCATCTTCAGGTTGGAGGAAGAGCGTAAGGTGGTTTGTAGGGTGGAAAAGGAATTACCTTTCCTTGGGGAGAGAATACAATTAATTAAGGGAGTCTTAAGGTTCCATCATCATCCGTGGCAACCGCAATTGAGAAGATGCAAAGGTGTAAGGGTTGGAAAAGAAGTATCACTTGGTCTAATGGGATCAGGTGTGTAGAGGTAAGAAGGATGGAGGTTTGGGGATGGGTAGTGGCTGTAATTATGGGTAGTGGGTTTTTGGTGGGACATGAAGGAGGTGAAGTGAGCTTATGGGGTGTGTGTTTGGAAGGGATTATGAGTTTCCAGTCTGCCTTGCTGAATTTTGTATCTTATAAGTCAGGTGATGGTTCATCTATAAAATTTTAGGAAGATGAATGGTTGGGAATTGGTAGATTGTGTAATATTTGTTCATGGTTGTACATATTAAGTACGAAGAATGTGGTGCCCAAAGTGTAGAAGACCTCTATTTTATTGGGAAATGGAGGAATGCATGAATTGGTGGAATGATAGTAATCCAAGGGCTAATTGGGAGGGTATGAAATTCCATTGGAAGTTAAAGGAGGTAAAAGGAAAATCAAGGAGTGGAATATCCTTCAGTTTGGCAGGATTGAAGATAGAAAGTAGGTAGTAACCAATCAAATTGAGGAGTTGGATGCTAAGGAAAGGGCGGGTACCTTTTGATGTGGGAGACAAGCAAGAAAGATGAGAGCTTAGGAAGCAGTTAGAGGACATTCTGTACAAAGAGGAATTTAGTTGGAGGCAAAAGTCTAGGCATAAGTGGGTGAAAGAGGGAGACAAAAATACTAAATTTTTTCATGCAATGGCTAATGGCAGGAGGAAGAGTGTGATCTCTAATTTGGAGATTGATGGGGTGTCTCTTACTAAGCAAGGTGAGATTGCTAGGGCTTTTATGGAGCACTTTAAGTCAATTTATAGAAGGCCCTTCAATCAAAGAATCTGGACAAAAGGTTTGGATTGGCCAAAATTATCGGAGGCTAAGAAGTTTTGAGGTGGAGGAAATAAGGGAAGCAATTTTTTTCGATGGATAAATCCAAAGCACTAGGACCAAAAGGATTTACTATGGGAGATACTGAAGGGGAGGGGGTGATAAATCCAGGGGCTGAACTCAACTTTTATTGTTTTGATCCCAAAGAAAGTTGGAGAAAATAACCCAAGTGACTATGGACTTATTAGTTTGGTTAATAACCTGTATAAAATTATTGCTAAGATCTTGTCTAGAGGAATAAGATAGGTGCTTCCAGATCTAATCTCACAAAATCAAGGGGCATTTGTGGGAAATAGATAGGTTGTGGATCAATTATTAATTGTCAGTGAGCGTGTGGAGGATTTGAGGAGAACAAGGAAGAAAGGGATGTGCTTAAGTTCGACTTAGAGAAAGCCTATGACATGGTAGGTTGGTCTTTTTTAATGCAAGTAATGGGTTATTGTGGTTTTGAGGAGAAATGGTGTAAATGGACCCTTGGACTTTTGCCTCCCATAGTGGATCACTTTCTGGCTATTAGGGGAATGGAACAGTAGTGAATGGAATAATGCATGTCATTATTTCATCTTAGTGAATGGAATAGTGTTGGATCACTTTCTGGATATTAGGGGATTTACACAAGGGGACCCCCCCCCCTCTCTCCTTTTCTCTTTACTTTGATTACAGAAGTTTTGGGGAGATTTATACAGAGAGCAGATTCAAGAAGCCTAGTGATGGAGTGGAGGGTTGGAAAAGATAGAATTCCTATCACCCACTTGCATTTTGCTGATGGTACAATTCTTTTCTATGAAGGGGAGGATGTGAGGTGGGTTAAAAACCTAAAGCTGGTAGTTCAACTATTCGAAAAAATGTCAAACATGAAGGTTCACTAAAAGTTTGTTTGGTGTCATGATGCCCTATGAATTATTTGGGGATGCCTTTAGGGGATAATTTGAGGAAAGACAGTTTTTGGAGCCCTATAATTGATAGGTTCACTAAAAGGTTAGCCCCTTGGAAAAAGAATTACTTATCTCTAGGTGGTAGAATCACTATGATAAAGTCTACATTGTCTAGCTTGCCAGTGGGAATTTGGTCTTATCTCTAGGTGGTAGAATTTGGACTCTAGCCCCCTCTGAGACTTCCTCGTGTGCTTTCTTCTTTTAGTCCCTGCTGCATTCAACCAACAACTTTGTACAAAATTTTCCAGCAAAGGAAGTATGGGGTGGGCCAATCTCCAAGGATTGGAGCTTTTTGTTGGGAAGCCTTCTTGGAAAGATGTAATACTTGCGACTTACACCAAAGTAAAAGGCCTTTATGGTGCTTGTCTCCAAATTGGTGCATTCTTTGCAAGGCTAATGGTGAAAACTCCTACTTATTAATTTCTTGCCCTTTTTCTTCTGAGATATGGGACTGGTTTCTTTCTTTATTTGGTCGCAGGTGGATCCCTCTACCAGACATTCAAAGCTTGTTGACTACTTTCCTTGGATGGCTGAAGAAAAGGGGCAAGACTATGTGGAGGTGTGTGAGGGCTGACATATGCTGGACTTTATGGGACAAAAGAAATTCAAGGACATTTTCTGAAAAGGAAAGAAATAAAGAAGGTATTATTGAAGCAATAACAGTTAGGGTGGAGGTGGCAAACTCCGCTCCTCATTCATCTGCCTGTCCTGTGTGGTCACCACCAGCCCTTGGGTTTATAAAGTTAAATTTTGATGGGAGAAGTGCGGGCAATCCGGGTCCCTCAGGTGCAGGAGGTGTTTTCAGAGATGAGAATGGGAAGGTGATTGCAATGTATTAAGGTCCCATTGGGGTTGGGGACTCTCTCAGAGCTGAGGTTTATGTTGTACTAGAAGGCGTAAGGAAGACAAAGGAGCTGATATACAAAATCTAGTTGTTGAAGGGTACTCAAAGTTGGTTTTATGTTGGTTACAAAAAAACAATGGACTTTGGAAATTAGCCAATGAGAGGAGGGACATTAAGTGGCTGACTAGGGGGTTGGAAATCCAGTTTCAGTGGGTGAAGAGAATTGCAAATGCCTCTGCAGATACTTTGGCAAAGCAGGGGGTGGGAAGGGATCAAATGTTTTGGGCTATATTGTAATTCATTTTATTGTTCTCTTGGGGAGAGTTAAATCATTTTACCTCCATCTTGCCAGAATTCAAAAGAGTCAAGAAATTAATTCTTTAGTTTTGCTTTTTTCTACTGATGAATTGTATTGATTCATTCTATTTTTCCGGAACTTGTATATTTGGGAATGTTTGTTCCTTTTTGTTTGGTTGTGATATCTCATCACTACTTTGGATGTACCTTTTATTTTGATTAATAAAAATTTCTTGTTATTTATTATCATAAAAGGGTTTCTGAATTGCTATCAAAGCAGAAGGTTATCTTGCTTTTCTTTCTTTTCTCCTGCTCCTTTCTTCCTTCTTTCTCACTTGATTGCAGATTTTCGTTTCTTGGTTTACCCAATTGATAGAAGACAAGTAGATCAACTTACAACTTGACAGAAGAAATTGGTTGTAAGTTTCATGATGGGCTAAGCCAAGGGGCTTAGCAGCTTTTTCCTTTGTAGGAACGTCTCGTTTCTTTTCTACCTTTTTCTTTTTAGCTTTTTAAGAGAGTTCTTATTTGATTCATTAGCTGACAATAAAATTACCAGAATAACTCTCTTTTCAGTCTTAAAAAGGAAGAAACACAATAGAAATCTCATGATTCTCGTCCCTTGGTGAAGAAAAGAGTTAATTGTTTTTGTACCTGAACTTCTCCGTTAACTTAAAGATTTGCCAGTCCTTTTATCTTGATATGGATATTGGTTGTATGGTTTGGCTTGATTTTCACTTATGGAGACATATTGGCTTCAAAAGGAGAATGCCTTCCTATGTTCTGACCTGTGTGTTTCATTGCAGTGAATGCTGCAGTGTTCGACTGCCTGATAAGGAACGATCAGAATTCCCCTGCTTGCAATTTTTGTGGGAAGACACTTCTAGTGATTCTATACAGAGAATTTCAAAGATCATGGCAAACAAAGTCTGCCCAATTTTATTGGGGACCAATATTAAGGGTACTTTCTCTTGCTTGCGATTGCAATGTTTTGTTTTTTCACTTCTCTTATTACATTGAGGTTTCTTAGGGAGGTAAGCTCATACTTCTGCAAATAATCTTTAGTAGTCCTTTGAATCTAGCTTGTTTGTTGGAATTCACAAAAAGAGAAATGAACTATTATGGCTTTTTTTTATCAATAACCATGCTGCTAACTTTTATGGATTGACTCTATTTGTCCTTGTCTTCCATTGCCTTTTATTTAGGGCTATACTGTTCTTGCTAATATGCAAGAAAGTAGTTAGCAATATGAAGCTAAATATTATGGGTTTTCTATGTAAATCCTGGTTTGCAATTCATTTCTGTTCAGTTCTAAATGATTCTTACTGATATGCAATGTATCAGGTATAAATCTATTTCTTATGATAAACCATGTAGTGTCTTCCTTTTGGGTTTGTGAATTGGATGCATTGAGAAACTTATGGGTGCATGGCAGGCTAGGGCTTCAACTTGGGCATGTTCAGGTTGAGCATTTGATAAAATTTGAATGGTCCCAGCCCGAGGGCCAAGCCTGATTCTGTTTAAATACTTCAACTGAGATGCCAGACCTGCACCTCTGGCAGTGCATCATGTTACAATACATGCATGCAAACTACTTGCATATTTAAGCACTTGTATATCTGTGGTCTTTCGAGGTGTGCTGGATGCAGACCTAACATTTAGTGTCTTTCTTTCTTTCTTTGTTTTTCTTTTTTGTACAGAGTGACTTCTCTCAGACTGAAATCCACATTCTCACACTTGCCAGCCCTTGATTTTACCATTGCACAAAGCTATGATCCTATTTAAGGACTTGATCCGACCTTTTATTAGTGAAGAAAAAAACCTATGAGGGAACAAAATAATCCTTTCTTTCCCCCACTTAGATCCAACTATTACATGTATTTGGTTGTATCCTTGTTACAAATTAACACTTGTGTAAGAGTTAAGAGAACATGTTTTTATGTGTACCTAGTGCTGTAAAAGTCAAATCGAATCATGAATTACAAATCCGATCCAAAATGTTGGAAGATCATGAAAATTTATCAAAGAAAATGGAATTGTCAATCATAGGAGGGGCCATTACATGAATGRGTCAATAAATAACTCTCAACTTTTATTCAGTCATTCATATCAAATCATGCAATCTTAGAGACAAAATAGGGTCATTTACGAGTTCATGATACTGCATTGTAAATACGCCGAAAATTAAAGATATTATGAAAAGAATAAATCATTAGTTAACTATAACAGGTGAATCCAATAAAAGCCTAAATTCTTTTTTGCACAAAAAATACAAATCAAACATATAAAAATAAATCACTATAATAGTCCATCATAATTTTCGTCATCATCATAATCATCTAATCCTTGTCCCCAACTATGAGCCCTTTAAATCATTTTTTGTACTTCCACCCCTGCTTTTTTGGTATACCCCTAGAAATAATTAAAGAAAATTAAAGAAGGCCCATAACTAAGAAACACAACTTTTAAATACTACTTAAAAGAGATAAAGAACACTAAGGCCCATTTGGCCCATTCTCACCACACTCCCCCTAAAGCTAAGCATAGATGTCAATCATGCCCAACTTGCTTACATAATGTTGAAGCTTTGCCTTTGTGACTCCCTTAGTTAGAAAATCTGCTATCTACTCTTCTGATGCAAATAAAGATAGGCACACCACTCCTGAAGCCACTCTCTCCCGTATAAAGTGTCTATCTTCCTCAATGCACTTAATTCTATCATGCTGAACTGGGTTGTGAGCAATGTTAATAGCAGCTCGGTTATCACAATACAACATCAGTGGCTTGTCACGTGAAACACCCATCTCATTAAGTAGAGATCTAAGCYATAACAACTCAGAAACACCATGGGCCATAGCTCTATACGTGGCCTCAGCTAAAGATCTAGCAACCGCTAATTGCTTTTTGCTTCTCTAGGAAACGATATTTCCTACTACCATAGCACAATATCCTGATGTGGATCTCTTGTCATCCACATTTCCTGTCCAATCAACATCTATATATGCTTCTACCTACATGTGCCCATGTTTAGCAAATATTATACCCTTCCCGGGGGTTCCCTTAAGGTAGCATAACACCCTTTCTGCAACAGCCATATGGGTGTCTCTGGGAGCATGCATGAACTGGCTGATGACATTCACAACATATGAAATATCTAGACAAATCATACATAGATAAAGAAGTTTCCCTAGTAATGTCTGAAACACTCCCCTGTCAGCTAAAAGTTCTCCATCATTAGTTGAGAGTTTATGATTCACATTAATAGGGGTAGAGGCAGGTTTATGATAGGCCCCTAATTATCCTCGCATATGCTAGGAGAGGAAAAGGGCAGCGCAAGCCAGGTCAGCAGGCGGTTGAGAGAAATGTTTAGCTATTCCAGTTAAGGGTGCGACCTTATCGTCAGCAGTCTTTAGCTCGCCGAGCCAATGAAAAGCTTGCCCCTCATTTTTATGGACCATTTGCTATTGTGAAAAGAATTGGTGTTGTCCCTTATAAACTTCACCTCCCTTTGGATGCACGGATTCACCCAGTTTTTCATGTCTCGCAACTCAAGAAGGTGATTGGTAACCATATCTCTTCTCCTGTGATTCCTTCCACTCTGTCTGCTGATATGGAGATGCTTGTGGAACCAGATGCCATGCGCGGTGTGCGTCCATTGGCAGGACCTGCCTGATTTTGAAGACTCTTGGGAGCCCTTTGACTTGCTACGAGATCAATTCTCTCACTTTAACCTTGAGGACAAGGTTAGACTTTGGGCGGCAGGTAATGATAGGCCCCCAATTATCCTCACATATGTTAGGAGAGGAAAAGGGCAGCGCAAGCCAGGTCAGCAGTCGATTGAGGGAAATGTTTAGCTATGTCAGCTGGGCATTGCTAGAGAAAGTTAGTTATGATATCAGGAGGGAATATTATATGGGGAGTTAGTTATGATATCTGGAGGGAATAATTCTGAGAGGAAATCGGTTAGGATGTCAGGAGGGAATATTTCTGAGGGAATTAGTTATGATGTCAGGGGGGGAATATTATATAAGGGGGGGAGGGGGGTCTAGATTGGGAGGAAGAGGAAAGAACATTGTGAGTGTTGGGAGAGTTGGCGGTCTCTCGAAGAACCGACCTCTGTTATCACTCTCCATTGAATGAATACAAGTTTTCTCTTATTTTGAATTGTGTGTGTTTGCTGAGTGCCTATAAATTGAGTGTGAGATTTCCGGAACCTATCAGTGGTATCAGAGCGCGACTTCCTCGGCCATGGTAACAGTTAATGAGGTGGCATCGCAGGTGGATGGCTTACGTAATGACTTTCAGCATCTCGATCCAGATAAGGTAGCAGCTGGTCTTTCGAAGATTTCAACTCTGGATAGCTCTGTACAATCTCTGGAAGAAGGCGTTCAGGGTCTGGTGAAATGTTTTGATCTGTTGCTTCATCAACGTGATCTTCCTCAGGTATCATCGGCTCCTCTATCTACAATTGAGGTTTCTCCTCCATTTCTCGCATCGAGTAGTGCTGCTGACAAAGGAAGGAGCACGGCATTTCCGGCATCTTCTTCGATGTCGGTGTTGGATCATGCTTCTGATTCTCTTCCTCGGAAGTTGGAGCTGCCTATTTTTTATGGGAAGAATTCAGACGGCTGGCTTTTTCGTGTTGAGCACTATTTTGAAATTAATGGGTTACTTCCGGCAGAGCGCCTGCGAACTGCCGTGGTCTGCCTAGAAGGAGATGCGTTGGCTTGGTATTACTGGGAAGGACGGCGACCTTTTCATGGCTGGGAAGAATTCAAAGAACTCCTTGAACGTTTCCGATCGACTCAGGAAGTAACTTACATGAACAGCTCTTCTTGTTACATCAATCCTCTACCGTTAAAGAATATCGCCGCCAGTTCGAGGTTCTCCCGGCTCCCCAATGTGGCCTGCCGGAATCAGTCCTCGAAGCTGCGTTTCTTAATGGGTTGCGTCCAGATATCCAGGCCGAGCCCGTTGGGTTGATTAGGAAGATGGTCGCGGCTCAGAAGATGAGGATAAGAACCAAGCCCTTTGGGCTTACCAATYTGGGTTATCTCCTCGTTGGCCCACAACGTCCCCCTCTGGAGTCCATATTAATCCACGAGTGACACAGGTGACTACTTCTGCTGTCACTCGCCCTGAAGTGAAGTGATTTAAGATTAATTTTGCTGAAAATAGCAGCACCATGAAGCTCATCAAGAAGTTCTTTGATAAACGGAATGGGAAACTTATCCGGAACCGTGGCACGCTTGAGGGCCCGGTAATCAACACAGAAACGCCAACTTCCATCTTTTTTCTTGACTAGAAGAACCGGGCTCGAGTAGAGGCTTGTACTTGGCTGAATGATTCCAGCAGCCAGCATCTCAAAGACAAGGCGTTCAATTTCATCTTTCTGGAACTGAGGGTATCTGTAAGGGCGAACAGAGATAGGGGAAGTGCCTTCATGCAAGATAATAGCATTCCGTTTATCGAAGAACTTCTTGATGAGCTTCATGGTGCTGCTATTTTTAGCAAAATTAATCTTCAATCAGGCTACCATCAGATTCGTGTCCGTAGTGAGGATATTCCCAAAACCGCATTTCGCACACACGAGGGCCATTATGAGTTCCTTGTCATGCCCTTCGGTCTTACAAATGCGCCATCGACTTTTCAGTCGTTAATGAATGTTGTTTTCCATAATTTCCTCCGTCGCTTTGTTCTGGTGTTCTTTGATGATATTTTGGTGTATAGTGCTTCCGAAGCTGCCCATTTGGATCTCCTTCAACAGGTTTTTTCTGTACTGCGTGCCCACTGTCTTTTTGCTAACTCAAAGAAATGTATCTTTGCTCAGCCCAACATTGAATACCTGGGACATATTATCAGTGTGACTGAAGTTTCGGCCGACCCTTCTAAAGTCCAGGCTATGGTTGATTGGCCCCAACCATCTTCACTGAAAGCTCTTCGCGGTTTTTTAGGACTTAC